ATATTCATCACATGACCAATGCAACCAAAAGTTCTGAGATGGTCAACTCATGGTTTCTTGCCATGCCATGCCTCATGTAACACCCTAGGTGTTTGGCTTCCACTAATTGCATTTCATTTCATAAACATGTGCATCATCTATCTCAAAGATGTCATTATTCTTATCAAACATGCATATGCAACATTTTCAATTGTATGTGTTTCATGCTTGATTGCTTAGAATGGTAGTAGTGCAACATGTGAATGTAACATGAAATTCTCATACTTTGAAACATGGCAATATGGTAGTAATGTGGCAATTATAAAATGACAACAAAGTCATGAAACATGTGAAACATTGCATTGCAACATTTGGGTGAATTGCTTGTTTTGTTGTTTCATCACATGTGATCATTTGACATGGGTATAGCACTTGTGTAAAGTGGTTGATTATGGTCTAATACACCTTAACTACACTTAGGGTAATTGTTTGGACACTGTTCATGTGGACCAAAATGACCAAATTGCCCTTTTGGAGAGGTTTGACTTGAATTGACCCTTAGTGTGCCACTGTTTGACTGATTCAAAAGACCAACTTAGAGACTTTGCATGGCTGTGCACTCTTTACCAAAGTTGTAGCTAATTTATCAAGGAACAAAAGTTGTTTTATGATCATCTCATGAAAATGGCTAGAACATGCTCAAACATGGCCCACAAGTCAGGTTTCCCTGCTGATTTCAGACTTAGAAAAATTCTTCAGTCAAGTCATGACTTACAGTTTCATGAGCCCCTCTTTGCGACCTTGTATCTCTCAATCCAGACCGAATTAGTCCAAGCCCCAATTGACAATGTTATAGTACTACTGTAGATCTACAAATTTGCTGTTACTACCTACCGCTAACTCAGGCTAGATTACGAGCTATGAGGCGATGAAATGGCGCTGTCACCATGCCACCGACCCCGATTCATCGTTTTTAAAATGTTCATGAACGTCGTGGCCGAATCGATTCGTAGGCTGATCACCACATGGAGCGCATGTTCGCTCGGTGCCTCCACGTGGCGTGTTCGGGCTCCAGATGAAAGCCAAGCCAGCGCCTCGCTCACTCCCTCTTCCTCTCGCCATTTCCCCTCTCGCCGCTTTTCTTCACGCGAGCGCGGCGACCGGGAAGCAGTGGCAACCGCCGAGCCAAAATCCACCTCAACCAAGCGCCATTGACCGATTCATTAGAGCCACAGCACCACCGTGAGCTCCTCCACGTCTGTGACCCCACCGTCATTCCATTTTCGCCTCAGGTAGAGCTCCCCGTGAGCGCGGCTCCACCGGGTCGCCATGACTGCCGCCGGCCGAGCTCGCACATGGCCGTGCTGCTCGAGCCTCTTACCGTCCCCTCTCTCCCTTGCGCTAGGTCCTATAAGTGCTACTGATGCTCGTAGGGTCACCCACTAGGGCCGCGACGCCGTCACCTCACCGGAGCCGGCCAACCCGTGGCCGTGCGCTGCCATGGCCGTCGCCACCCCCTCTAGCTGCTGTAATCCCTGCAATAGATGGCACCGTTAGATGTGCATGGGTGAGGCGAACACCGTAGCACCGATGGCCTCGCCGGAGCTGTCACCGGCGACGAGTTGCGCCGCCGTCTTTCCTTCCTCCCCTGTCTGTCTCGCTAACATGCGGGGTCCCCTTGTCAACAGAAGCGCCAGCGGGAGCCAGCCAGCGGGGAGCCAGCTGAGTTCTGGGTCAAGGCCAACACAGCCAGCAGGTCATGCCGTCCTTCGGGCCGGCCCAGCAAGTAGAGTTAGGATTCAAATTCATTTTGGTTTTTATTCTTTTCACATATTTATGTACATTTTCAAAAATATGTATCTCTTAGATGGTAGATCCAAATGACGTGGTTCCAATTTTGTTGAGTTCATGATAATGTCTAGTTTATATTAAAAATATAATACATGTCATGTTCTGTTATGAAAATGGGAGTTTCTATTTATCTCTTTTAATCATGCAAGAAATAGGGGTAATTATATCTTTTACTAGGTAGCTCAAAATGGCATGAAATTTTTATGGTGTACTGCTCATATCATGAATAGCTTGTAGTTAAATTTTCATAAATTTTGGGCACTGTTTGCAGGAGATAGAAAATTATCTTTTTTGCATGGATGGATCTTGTGTGAATTTTCATAATTTTTCTATAGATCCAGTTAGGGTAAAAATTGGTGAGTACTGTTCTTACGCTAGAATGATGCTAGAAAAAATTAGAAATCTATTGTTTGACACTTTTCAATAGGGTTTCCTAATTATGCTAAAAATAGACATGCTACCTGTTATTTTGGATACAGCAAGTTCTGCTTACCCAATGGCTTTGAAATTTTTATGGTAGTCTATGTGAAGCCTGAGATATCTACTGTAATTTTTTTAGATTTTTCTGAATAGTTTTACTATATATTGCTTTAATCACCTAATTAACTAAAGAAATTAGAAAAGGGCATTAAATAAATTGTTTAGAAGTTGGCACTAGACTTTCTGATGTTTCTTTGGTATGAAAAATATGTTGGTAAACTTGGTTTGGTCCAATTATGCTTTTGCATCTTCATTAAATAGTTAATTTAGTAACCCTGTCATTTCTGGGCAGATTCTATGTTTACTGGAATTCGATTTGGTTAACGTAAGAATAATGCTTTGATGTTTACAAATGATTTGTAGAGAATTTCATAAGCTTTCTAGAATGTCCTTATGCAAGTCATTTGGATTTGTAGAACTCTTGTTGTGGTTGAATTAAGGAACTACCCGTGTGCATATGAAACTTTAACTGCTGTTTAAAGTATGCCTTTACTATTTCTAAGTTGGGGTAATGTTCCTAGGTGTTAGGCCTTTAACTGAGGATGAGCATCTTTATCTTAGGCTATGCAAGTTAGGTAAGTTGATCTTGTTCTTCAAGTTAAGTTAGATAACTGTTTTAAAATGATTTGACTAGAGCTATTCTTAATCGGTAAACGAGTGTCCAGTAATGTTTCGTTAAACACTTACTGTGATTCATTCATCATGAGCATCATGTCATTCCTTATGCATCCATGATATTTATCTTGTGCATCGGCATGCAATAGGTGTACCTGGGAAGGAGTGACCCTCTCGGGAATTCGAGGAACCGAAAGCGAGCAGCAAATTTTATAACACCGGAGGTTCGTGAGGTGCGACTTGAAAGAAGTTCCAGACGAGGTCGCCGTTGAGTGCTCGGATCACCGTCCATGCAACTTTGTGAAAGGCAAGCCCCGGAGCATATTAAGCATCCTAATTTCTGAAATGCGATTCTGATATTATTGTTACATATATATATTGTTGCATTAAGTTTAGGTGTTGGATGCAAACACTTGTTTGCATTGATTATCCCATCCTTGTCCGGATATTGATACCCCAATCCTATGTAGCTCAGCTCGTGTAGTGCTTAGCCCTCGCTTAAACACGGTAGAAGTCGGTGATTTCGTCACCGCGAGATATAGGAAGATACATATGGCACGGTTGGCTATATTTGCTATCGTGGAAAAGAACCAGGTCTTAATTTGAAATGAAGACCGGACGAGGCTTGCTTGGTTTGCGATGACTCTGTCTCAGGTCGATTAAGGACCTGAATCTTGGAGCCTTTCACTGTTCATGTTGAACGATGCCTCTCTCTTAGTTGGCCATGTCCGAAGACCGACCACGGCCGAGTAGCTCACCTCGGCCGGGAGTCGATAAGTATAAAGCACGCCTCGTAAGGGAGCCATAGGCGTGAGTCCAAGGCGTGTGATTTAAAAGTCCTGATCGTCCTGGCAGAAGGGTAATCCCTGAGAGTGCTGGCGCTGATCGAACCCGCGAATTTGGTTCCTGAGTTGTTCCAAAGGTGACCCACGGCTACCCTTGCTAAGTATGCTGTGGTGAGAGTTAGGAATACCCCTCACCTGAGTTGTAATTGATTCGAGTCGCCGCTCTCCCGTTAGTGAGAACTTGACGGGCTTATCTCTAATGTAGATGCACTAAATAACATAATGGTTCGAAAGGATGATATGATGATGACAGCCTTATTATACATGCTATGGTTAATATTGTTTGCTCCTAATAAGTGAGTGCTCTAGTACAAAGCTAACCTAGTGGATGAGATAAATGATGATAAGCTTGATGCTAAGTTTAAATTGGTCACTATATTCATAAGCTCTTTTATGCAACTGTGTCAAGCTAGCCCACCTCATAAGCCTTGCATGATCCTTGGTGTCTTTTATTTCTGGTTTCGTCGGGTAAGTCTAGCTGAGTACCTTCTCGTACTCAGGGTTTATCTCCCACCTATTGCAGATGACCAGTTCTACTTTGGTTGCTACAAGTATTGCCTTCTCCCGGCTGGGGATGAAGACTAGACCGTTGGGCGCGGTCTCTACTAGTTCTCGTACCTAATGATGCTTTTGTGGGACATGACTAAGATCTGGCAATGTATTTGGAACTATGAAGTTATGTACTAAACTATGTTGCTTCCGCACGTTTGAATTTGGTTTGTAATATTTTATATTTGAACTCTGATGGATGTAATCTGAATGCTACTTATGAAATGTTGTAACGAATGATGTGTTGTGTTGAATCACTACGGTCTTGGTTGTATGTCGAGAGTTGGTTGAAATCCTTTGTGATTTCTGGACTACCGGGATTACGGGAGCTTAAGTACAGGAATTTAATCGCTTCGATGATTGTTTTTGTACTTACGTTCTTATGATTTGGTCGGTTTTGTTACACCTCATATGGAGTCTTATCTTGCACACTCTTTGTTGGAGATCTGTTCAGCAGGTAAACTGCTGTTGAGACTGCCTCTCCCCGATATTTTGGTGGCACTCCTTTACTCTTTAGCATGCACCTTGCCATCTCCACAACCGATTGGTTTCGACGCTCAACCACTCCATTCTGTTGGGGAGAGTAAGGAGTGGTTGTGTAGTGCTTGATGCCTTGTTCATTGCAGAAAATAGTAAAGGAAAATGAGTTAAACTCACCACCACGATCTGTCCTCAGTGCTTTCAATTTGCCTTCATGATCAACCTCAGCTCTTTGTTTGATTTTTTTAGAAAACCCAATGCTTCATCTTTGGATCTCAACAATTCAATCCACATGTACCTACTGAAGTCATCAACAACTAGCAAAAAGAAAGATTTACCACCCACTATTGGTGGTCTCACTTGTCCACACAAGTCAGCATGAAATAATTCTAAGCCTTTCTTAGCTCTGTAAGAGGACACCTTTGGGAATGGTGTACGGTGTTGCTTCCCCAGAGTACATCCATCATAGACTTGCTCCACATGATCTACCATTGGCATTATGTCAACCATTTTCTTCCTTCCCAAATCTCTAAGTGCTCTGAAGTTCAAATGCCCAAATCGGGCATGCCACTTCCCAGCAACATCATTCAGTTTTGTCAGAAGACAAACAGGGGGAACCACACCAAGTTTTACTATGTAGAGCTCATTACCAGTCACGAGGTGCACCGACTAACAAATTGTATTCGGATCAAACACTTTTAGCCGACCATCAAACAATCGATGTCACAGCCTGCCTCTTCCAGCTATCCAAGACTCACTATATTGCTTTTTCAGTTTTGGAATGTAGTAGACATTTGTGAGTACCTTATGTTGATCATGGCGACCCTAAATCACCACTGCACCGAGTCCACATATCTCGACGCTAGAGCCATCACCAAAGCACACTGAACCATGAACATTTTCATCAAGGTGAGCTAGTGCAGATCGGGTGCCAGTCATATGGTTGCTTGCACCTATATCAAGTACCCACACACCATCCGGGCATACTCATCGCACTACTTTCTCTCTTACGCTAGATGAACGATCTATGACGGCATGCACAACACTTTGCACCTCGGCAAATGAAGTGTTGCATGCTCTCACCACCCTGCAGAATGTTCGCTTCCTCGTCGCTTCTCGCTCTTTTTCCGCTTCTTTGGGCGTTTACGGTCCTCTACCCAAAGCCCATAGATATGACAATTGCGGCATCTACCCCTTCTCCTTGGTGTCCCCTCCGATGTGAGCTTGACCATGTTGGAGTTGCCTCGAAATGCCACCATCGGATCGATGTGGTGTCTTGGCCTTCCACCGATCACGCCTCCTCCTTTGCTCCCCTCTCTATGCTAATTTGCTCGAAATGATGCTTGTGTTTCTCAAGCCATTCATCCTCGGCAAGTAGCAACCGCCCTACCTTGTTTAGTGATATGCTCCACCTTGTCTTCAAATGGTCTTCAAGACGACGAGTCTTCCCACCAGATCTTCAACTGTGAGTGCTTTCATTTCACAAAACATCTCAATTGACACGGCGACTTGGTTGAACCGAGGTGGTACAACATGTAGAAATTTCTTGACAACTCGAGTATCATCAATGGTTTCACCGAGTGACTTGATATTGGCAACGAGATTTGTGATTCTCATCCCAAAATCCTCAACACTCTCCCCTTCCTTGAACTCAATATTCTCGAATTCCTTCAACAATTTATGCACGTTCACCTCCTTCACCCGATCAGCGCCAATTCTCATCGTCATCACCGCCTCCCAAGCCTCCTTAACTGTCTTCTTGACACCAAGAGTTCCCCACATCTCCTTGGCACCGACCTCATCAGTGCGCCCATTGCCTACCGATCTTGGGAGCGCTTGACATTGGTCCCTGGGTCAATAACCTCCCAAATCTCCATTGCCTCATAATTGATTTGCATCAACATTGCCCACTCTGCATAATTAGATCGAGTAAGCATCTGCCATACCAGAGAACTTTCCTTGATGCCTGAAGACGCTGCACTAGGACTTGCATGCTTGTCGCCCATCTCCTCCTTCTCGGACGCCTTTCTTGGAATCACGAATTTCTTCTTCGTGGGTTCTCGCGGTGGGATAATGGAACCACCGTAGAACATCAATCAGCTCTGATACCAACTGTTGGAACCAGGCCGTGGCGGCCAGTCCCTGGATCAGCGGCGACGACGAACAGCGACGGAGGCGCTTGGACGCGATCACCGCGGCGAGAGCGGGAGCTCTGGAACGAACACACACACACACACACACACACGTGCGAGAACTGGTTCAACAAGAGATTTTTGCCTGCGCAACTATCATAGTTTTTTTGGGACTTTTTCATTGCATTACATAGATGGATACATGGGCTTGAAGCCCATCCACCCCGCCGCACGACGCGCTCCATGATCTCCTGCTTTACCGGATCATAGACCACGGGCATGCGCAGCACGACGTCGCAACGGGGAGACCCACTTGGCGGTCATGGTGTGAGCTAGGCACAGCACCAGCCACCCGCGATTCTACGCCACTAATGCAAACTACTGAAAGCGTAAAACATCATAGTTCCAACTAGATTACAGAGAGATAAACACTTATTCAAACTAACAGGACACACACGCACGCCACCTTGGCCATACATGAGTTCAAGACCCACCTTTCGGCCTTGGTTGCCATCCCTGCCTGTCCTGGTCTTCGTGCCGCTTCCTCTCCGCGTTGGTCGCGCGTGGGCACGGTCACCGTGAGCCGCGTCGCAAGGTCCATGTGGACACTGCCAATGGGCGTGCACTCACACCCACCATGGCCTTGACCCTGCACCAGCATGGCTCCGCAGAAGCAGGTCGAGCCTTTTGGGCATCCCATCGAGCGCCTACAATGCGCCATGGATGCTGCCCATCCCCTGCACAGAAGTCCAAAGACCTGGCCTTCCAGCTCTTGTCGTTCTCGACAATACATAGGCCCGCCATCATGGCCGCACACTACACATGATCCGCCGCCGACGCTCTCTCCCTTCCTGGTCCTTGGTTCCTACACGTGGACGCCACGGTGAGCTCCCCACCGGCGTCCCTATTCTGCCCTTCCCTCACCACCACCGGCAACCCACAACCGCACACGGGAACATAGCACACGACACGCCACTAGCCCAAGCATGTCATCTCTATAGTCACCCGACGCCCTCACCCAGGGGACATTGTCGCAGAACCGACCAATTTATAAGAATACAAGTACAATGGCAATCCGCAAGCGGTCGCACTGTCATACTTGAACCCATATAAACCCGGTAGTCCGTCGAGTACCACGATGGGTCTCGATAAACGATTTACAACAACCAAGATCGTACAGGATTCAACATACATGCCACATATTACATAAAGTTCACAGATACTTTTCATCATCAGAGTACGAATAAAAGTTATTACAAACCTAGTTTGATAAATAAAGCGGAAGCAAATAAGTTCGAAGATAAAGTTTCCAACATAGTTTGATACAGTGCCAAGCTAGATCACGGTCCACAAAAGCAAGGATAGGAATTACTAAAGAAGCCTGCCCAAGGCTTACTCCTCATCCACAGCGGGATAGAAGCAACTCTTGCAATAACCATGATACACAGTGCCATCTGCAACAATGGGAAAATAAACCCTGAGTACGAGGAGGTACTCAGCTAGACTTACCCGTCATGAACCAGAAATAAAATGACTCCAAGGATTATGCAAGGCTATAGAAGTAGACGTAACTTGACAACATTTTTGTGTAAAAGCAATTGAATCATGGTACAGTTACAAGTTCTTTACCAGATTATTTATAACTATCCATTTCTAGGTTAGCAACTATCCTGTGCCAAACATGTGGTATATCATTTAGAAGCATACAATAGTAACCATAGCAGGTATTGTAATTCCATATTCATCCGAACCATCATGTTTCATAACACAGTTGCTACGATGTTGGGACTAGCCAAGTTTCTCACTATCCGGGAGAGACGGCGATTTGAATCGATTTCAACCAGCTGGGAATTTATTCCTAACACAAACCCAGGTCTACCAGCCACGATAGCCTTAGGTCACCTTTGGTACAACTCCGGTACACATTTCGCGGGTCCGTACTGCGCCGCACAATCTGGAACACCAGATGCCAGGATGCTCAGGCCAAGCCTGCCCTTGGGCTCAGTCTGATCGTTCCCCGGAAGGAGCGCACAACAGAACGATTCCCGGCTTGAGTTGAATTACTCGGCTTCGCGGTCGGAACGAGTTATCCGGCCAGCTAAGTGAGAGGCATGCGTTCAATCTTGTCAGAAGTGCCAACAACGGTACGGTCCTTAATCAACACAGACAGGGATAAATCCACACCCAAGACCTCCATGTCTTGTTGCTTCTCTATCGACTTCCCGTCCGGTCTCGATTTACTTTTACCTCATGGTTCTGTTCCACGATAGCAAATATAGCCAACCGTGCTCCGGTATCCACCTATATCTCGTAGGTGACAGGACATCACCCGACTTCTATCGGTCTAAGCATGGCTAAGCATATATATTCGATCCTGGACCTATACCGGTTAAAGGTGTAATATTTGGACAAGGAATGTACATGCATCAAGTGGTTTCATTCAACTCTTATAACCTAATGCATCAGTCATAAATACGTAAGTAAACATTTGTAAATTACTGGGAGACTTATAATGCTCTGGGGCTTGCCTCGCAGAAAGGAAGTAGGGTGGTGGTCAGGATACTTCGGAAGCTCTTCAGGGTTCTGCTCCACGCCTTCGGGAGCTGCGGCTTCCGGATCCTCCTGCTGGTTCCCTTCCTCTGCTTCTTCGAATTCCAGCAACGTGATCTCTTCCTCCGATCCTAGATGCATGAGTATGGCATAAGTATTACGAATGCATAAATGTTAACAAGTGCATCATATTTATTGAGTAGGTGCATACCTCTTCTCGATTATTACTTAATTACTCCTACAATGCATCGACCATGCCACAAACAGTAGCTACTTGTTTCACTCATAACTGGAGTTCTACTAATCCAAAAATAGTGATCCTGGACTTTCTGGAAAGCTTATCAAATTATCTACAACTTTGTTATTAACCATTTTTATAGTACACATTAGTTTCAACATGCAACTCATCGAACTCTAGAATCAGTCCGGAAACTATTTAATATGCAATATAAAGTAACGATACTTCTACTTCATGTAATCATTCAAAATTTGACCCCATAGAATCTACCAACAGTTTAAGCATACCAAATACATTTAAGATCATATAATGGTGAAGCCCAAACTATTCATTTAATTGCCTTTATTATTTTATTTATATATCTAGGTTAAATAATAAATATATATCAGATGTGCTTAATAAATTCTCAAAAATTTACAATGCCTTACTAATGCTATCAAAGGACTACTATAAAAATTTTATGTCATTTTACCAAGTAGAATATCCTATACAAAAATGACAAGGAAGCAAGGCTTGAAATAGCATAAATGGAAAATCCTATTGAAAAGTGTCAAGCAACAGATTTCCTATTTTTCTTAACATCCATATGGTACTAGGATTACCTCCAACAAATTTCATGAATTTTGGACTCATAATTAATTTATGAAAATTCATGCAAGGATTAACTAGTCATAAAAGAAAAATCTATAACTATAAATCTACCCATGCACTGGTCCTCAAATTTTTACCAGAGCTCATATATGCTAATACTAGCTTACCACAAAAATTTCATAATTTTTGGAGCACAGGAACTCTAGATATAAAATAAACAAATTTGAATGCATTCAAAAGCACATTTCAAATCCCTATTTAAACCTCCAAAAATTTCTACTGTACAAGTCAAGAACATATTTTTCCTAAATACTACAGTTCCTAAGGAACACTCACAAATTTATTTCAAAATTTTAGGAGCTATCAAACTGAAGATACAAAAATAACAAAACACACTTGAATCTGGTATTTTTGAACTATCTTTAAAACCTAGAGTCGCTGACAGCAGGGACCCACGCGTCAGTTGGACCCACCGGTCAGCGAGACCCAAAACAGAGCCGGCGGCGCGGCTCTACGGACGCGGCCAGAACTCGACGGCGGCGAGTTCGCCGGCGGTGACATCATCACTGAGTGATCCCCGTGACCTAACGCGTCGATTGGTCTACTTGGCCGGCCCTATCGTCGACACTAGTGACGACGGCGGCGGCCATGGCGGCTCGGCGAGGCGGGACGTCGGCGGGACACCGGTGAAAGCTACGGTGGCTCAAACAAACGCTACGCCGAGCATCTACGGACTACAAGGAAGCTAGTGCGCGCGCTCTCGTGGCCTGGGGTGGTCTGGTTAGGCCTGGCCACGGCGACGGAGGGTGGCGGAGGAGCTCCGGCGAGGTGTTGCACGGCGCTGGGGCTTACCGAGCTTGAACAGCTAGCACTGTTGGACGCGGTAGGATGCTGGGGAGCTGGTGGTGCTGCGGTGGTGACGAAAAGGTGGCTCGGTGTGAGTTTACGCGGCTATGGCGACGGCGGAGCTACGGGAGCTCGGCGGCTGCTGCGGCGGTGCTCGCACAGGCGAAGGAGGAGGCGGAAATGCGAAAACGGAGTTGTGGCTGAGTGCGGGCGGGTGCGGGGGAGTTGAAGGCGCGCCCAGGCGCGTCGTGGCCTGCGCGGACAGACCGGCGGCGACGCGCGGCCGTTTCCCGCGCCACACGGCGTGCGAAGCCTGCCGATGTCGGCCACTGAACGGCTTTGTTCAGTCGATTCAGAGAAACGAAACCGAGCCTAACGATGCGTTTTGACGGTGAATTAACTGTTAAACCGAAGCTCAAAAGTGCAAACGATCTGAACAAAAATCATAGCCCTATGTACCAGCTACAACTTTTCTTAAGGGATCATGTGCCAACTCTCAACTAAACTCAAGTTATATCATCACAAAGATTGGTTTGTCAGGCTGTCAGTGAACTTGACTTAGAAAAATTTGTCAAGTGTTGAAATGAGTGTTTTACTGATTTTTGTGACCCAATTTCAAACATGTTAGGAGCTGAATCAGTCAAAGACCCAAAAATCAAAGTTGTTCCTTATATCAAACACTATAACATTGCTTTAGTGAACTCCTCCATGCAAGGTTTCTAGCACCTAGTTCAACTTTAGTCAAACCTGTCACTTTGAAAATATGATACATAATCAAACCATGACTAAATGACCAAATTAGCCCTAGCCCTAAATACCAAAGTTGTTCATAATGATATCCTAAGCATGTTTAAGCAAATTGCAAGGTCATTCAATCATTTTATGTAGTAGCCACTCATAGAGCTAGTTAGGGCAATCACAGGAAACATGCCTTAAAGGCTTGATTAAGAAAAGTGACTTTCATGAACAATGTTCTAATTGCGAACCCAAGTGTGGTTACATGTTTTTGGGACTCACATCTACCAAGTACAGGTTTTCATTCATGATCATTTGCATATACACATGGAAACATGAAATAATAAGAATGTTGCATATGTTTCAATTGAATGTTTCAAATGTCAAATGCTTGATTATGAATGCTTTATGATCATGCTCATGCTATGCGAGTCAAGTTATGCAAGGCTAACACCCGAGGTGTTACAGACATAGCCAAAAGCCTCACCTTTCCTTGCCATTGCCACGGCCTTGGTCGTGCACACCAGTGTGGCGGTAGCATAGCCACGTGTAGGCACGGACTACCTCGCCAACCCCGCCGTAGCTCGTCGCTCACGGCGCACTCGCACAACACCGTCCTGGCCCAGCCTCTACCTTGCCACCGCAACCTCTTCCTACCATCGTTCGACGCGCTGGCCAGCCCTTGTACCCTAGCATAGCCCTTCCGCATCACCAGAGGACCACTGTAGCCTTCCGGCCTCGCCTTCACAAACTGCACGCAT